GCCTTTAATGTCACCTTAAAAGGGTAGTCCAACAAAAACTAGTTCTCTCACGTGAATCCCCAGCTCTTTCCATCTACACAGAGAAGGCCACACTCTGGTACCTTCTCCGCAATATAAAATCAGTACAAATTCCAACAGTGTGACTCTCTTGCTATGACTGCGACACGTTGGTGGAGCTGGGAACACAATATGAAAGACGCCGCCAATATAAGATTTAAAGGAGAACTATGAGGTGAGTGGTTTTCACTCACCTCATAGTTCTAGCCGACCTGTGACAATGAGACTGTCACAGGTCGGCTCAATAGATCGGGAGGTGAGCGAACACATACCGGCGTTCGCTCACCTCTCGATCCTGTCACAGCTCTCTGCCGTGACAGGGGAGGGGCTGGATTCCCCCCGCTCCGATCCGCCAGCGTTGACTGGCGGAACGGACGGGGGAGGGGGCGGGAACAGCTGGCTCTGCCTTTAGATAGGCAGAGGCAGCTGTCAGTTACGCAGCTGGGCGGATCCCGGCACAATTGTCGGGATCCGCTTCAGCTGCGGCGTCTCAGTATACCGCGATCAGCTGCTCGCGGTATACTGCGGCGTCTCAGTATAACGCGAGCTACAGCTCGTGGTATACTGAGCCTAGGGTGACGGGAGGGCGCTAGTTTGTGTCCTCCCGTTACCCTAAGGAGAACTATGGGGAAAAGACTTATCCCCATAGTTCTCCTTTAATTTTGCATCATAAAGTTGATTCACTAAAGGCAGATAGGCTGTTTGCTTTGCAAGGGAATTTTATCTTAGCTCACTGAATGAGGTGAAGCTCTCCTGACTTCCATTATCCAATCATGTGCAAGAAAAATACTGTTCTTTTTATTTTCTTTGCATGTGATTGGGTCTACTTTGCATAGCCAATTTTAACCCCATTGGGAAACTTCCCTTGTAAAGAGAACAGCCTTTTTGCCTTTAGTAAATAGACCCCTATATGTCAGAACAAAAACATTGATATTAGATGGGCTAAAAATCATCTTACACAGACAAAGGAAGGGTTTGCATACATGTGATTTGTGGGTTGTTCCATGGTAGCTGGAGGTACGTACAATATCTGGAATTGTCTTTAGGTGACTGTTCTTAAGGTGTAAGGAGCCAATTAAAATTCCTGAGACCTTACAAAAATAAAATAAGTGGATATGATGAAATAGCTCTACCCAACCCAAAATATATACTTTAAAATACACTAAAGTACACTAAGGGGAATTTATCAAAACTGGAGCACACAGAATCTGGAGCAGTTGCCCATGGCAACCAATCAGCTTCTCTCTTGAGTTTGATCAGTTAAGATTTGAAAATGAAAGAGAGAAGCTGATTGGTTGCTATGCACATCTGCTCCAGTTTTGATAAATCCCCCTAAATATACCATACTTTACCATAGGGCACATCCAGAACTCTCATAGCCTCATTGTGGCTCTGTTCTTCCTTCTCCCATCACCTCCCTTTTGCTCGAATAGGGAGACAAGAAGAGTGGGAAGAACCAAGCAACAACACGGCAATAAAAGATCTGGTCCCATAGTTCCTCCCTCCCTCCCTCCTCATAAACATGCTAATGACATGTTTAAATAACACCTTCTTGTTTTCATTCCATACCTTTTTTTTCAGACCCATAGGTGTCATTGCTGGATCTCTCTGCTTCTGTATGCAATGGAGGTAGATCATGGCTGGTGGAAGGAGCCAGCAGGGTGCTGTACATAGTTCCCTCAGTGCTCCTCTTAAAAGCCTTCAGCCCTGATGAATCAATGCTGAGAAATAAGCAGAGCTCACCCCTTCCACATGCTTTACATTCCACACTCGGTGCATGAATAACCTTCCATTCAGAAATATCATGATAGCTAAAAAATATAATTGCCGGCACATGAAGTTTCTTCAAAGTTCAAAATATACACCTTAGTTTCCCTTTATATAGGCCACCTCCAGAACTCTTATGGTCTTATTGTGGCTCGGTTCTTTCCGCTCCCTTCACTTCCCAGTTGTTCACAAGGTGTGATTGGCGTCATTACAGTCCAATAGGAAGACAGCCTCATACTTCAGTAGGAAGATAGCCTCATAGTCCAATAGAAAGACAACCTCGTAGTCCAATAGTGAGATAAGAGGAGTGGGAAGAACCAAGCAACAACACAGCCATAAAAGTTCTGGTCTTGGTTCCATAGTAGAGTAATTCAGTTTTTCAGGCTGTTCTGGTAATGAACTCAGTATCTGCCTGCATACTTTATTATCTGGCAGCCACTTTAGCTCCATATGTCCAAAGGAACACTTTAAATCTTGCCGTATTTGTGCATTACGCATGCTTTGCTATTCAGAACAAATCTCACATTACTCGTGTCTGACTAGTACACTGCTCCACATTGACAATATATTTACTGTTCGGACCCATAGGGATTTATTGAAAGTGGGGTTGTTAAAGTGCAACAGTTAAAGAGAATTAATATAATGTAGCAGCTTAATTCATAAATTCCCTTCAGCTGCTCTAACTTGACACAATTTGGCACCATGACAGAATAAAACCTGCCCCTGACCACTTGTTAATTGTGCTTCTGCTTGACATCTATCTCATGTCCAGTGCTAGTTCTGTCTCCTGTGACCTGAGAGGCAGCTTGATTTGCATCTAATTTTGTCGCTAAATTGCTTGACACCCCCCAATGTGCCCACCTTGGGTTACACAAGCATAGCTAATCTCCAAGTAATCTAAGGTGTCTATATCTAATCTGTATATCTAATGTGTCTATATCTAAGGTGTCTGTATCTAAGGTGTCTGTATCTAAGGTGTCTGTATCTAAGGTGTCTGTATCTAAGGTGTCTGTATCTAAGGTGTCTGTATCTAAGGTGTCTGTATCTAAGGTGTCTATATCTAAGGTGTCTATATCTAATGTGTCTGTATCTAAGGTGTCTGTATCTAAGGTGTCTGTATCTAAGGTGTCTATATCTAAGGTGTGTATATCTAAGGTGTCTATATCTAATCTGTATATCTAATGTGTCTATATCTAATCTCTATATCTAAGGTGTCTATATCTAATGTGTCTATATCTAATGTGTCTATATCTAAGGTGCCTATATCTAATCTGTATATCTAAGGTGCCTATATCTAATCTGTTTATCTAAGGTGCCTATATCTAATCTGTATATCTAAGGTGCCTATATCTAATGTGTCTATATCTAATGTGTCTATATCTAAGGTGCCTATATCTAATCTGTATATCTAAGGTGCCTATATCTAATCTGTATATCTAAGGTGTCTATATCTAATGTGTCTATATCTAATGTGTCTATATCTAAGGTGCCTATATCTAATCTGTATATCTAAGGTGCCTATATCTAATCTGTATATCTAAGGTGTCTATATCTAATGTGTCTATATCTAATCTGTCTATATCTAAGGTGCCTATATCTAATCTGTATATCTAAGGTGCCTATATCTAATCTGTATATCTAAGGTGTCTATATCTAATGTGTCTATATCTAATGTGTCTATATCTAAGGTGCCTATATCTAATCTGTATATCTAAGGTGCCTATATCTAATCTGTATATCTAAGGTGTCTATATCTAAGGTGCCTATATCTAATCTGTATATCTAATGTGTCTATATCTAAGGTGTCTATATCTAATCTGTATATCTAATGTGTCTATATCTAAGGTGTCTGTTTGTAAGGTGTCTGTATCTAATCTGCATATCTAAGGTTTCTATATCTAAGGTTTCTATATCTAAGCTTTCTATATCTAATGTGTCTGTATCTAAGGTTTCTATATCTAAGGCTTCTATATCTAAGGTGCCTATATCTAATCTGTATATCTAAAGTGTCTGTATCTAAGGTTTCTGTATCTAAGGTGTCTGGATCTAAGGTGTCTGGATCTAAGGTGTCTGGATCTAAGGTGTCTGTATTTAATCTGTATATCTAATGTGTCTATATCTAAGGTGTCTATATCTAGTCTGTATATCTAAGGTGTCTATATCTAAGGTGTCTATATCTAAGGTGTCTATATCTAAGGTTTCTGTATCTAATGTGTCTATATCTAAGGTGTCTATATCTAATGTGTCTATATCTATGGTGTCTATATCTAATGTGTCTATATCTAATCTTTATATCTAAGGTTTCTATATCTAAGGTTTCTATATCTAAGGTGTCTGTATCTAAAGTGTCTATATCTAAGGTTTCTATATCTAAGGTGTCTGTATCTAAGGTGTCTATATCTAAGGTGTCTATATCTAGTCTGTATATCTAAGGTGTCTATATCTAAGGTGTCTGTATCTAAAGTGTCTATATCTAAGGTTTCTATATCTAAGGTGTCTGTATCTAATCTGTATATCTAATGTGTCTATATCTAAGGTGTCTTTATTGAATCTGTATATCTAATGTGTCTATATCTAAGGTGTCTGCTCTGTATCGAATCTGTATATCTAATGTGTCTATATCTAAGGTGTCTGTATCGAATCTGTATATCTAATGTGTCTATATCTAATGTGTCTATATCTAATCTGTATATCGAATGTGTCTGTATCTAAGGTATCTATATCTAATCTGTATATCTAAGGTGTCTGTATCTAAAGTGTCTGTATCTAAGGTGTCTGTATCTAAGGTGTCTGTATCTAAAGTGTCTGTATCTAAGTGTCTGTATCTAAGGTGTGCTTTGAAAAAAATATGCATACATACACAATATGCAAGTTAAATACTGTACATGCTGAATCTAAAGTGATTTGTTGGTTACACCAACAGCATTGATTGAACAGTGAACATACTCAGTATTTTTCTCTAATTGTTACTCTTATGTTCTCAGGTGATATCCCGGTCGTTCCTCTGAACTTCATCGCCTTGTCTTTCTCTTGCTCCTACAACAGAGACACTATAGAGGGCTGTGTGCGGGAGACGCTCTGTGTTTTCTCCCGCTCTGTTGCTACCAAACAAAATGTTGAGTTCAGCTTCAAAGGAATTGGCACTCTTATCATCCGCGACCAGAAGGTCAAGATGAAATTTTACAAAGACTTTGTAAATAGCACGGATGGGACTGGATCTCTGGTGAAATCTCTGTCTAATGTAAGTTACATTTGGTTACATTCGTCTGGCTCCTAGGATCTCAAGTGGAATCTCGCAATGCATTTGAGGGGTAATATTTGCTGATCACAGAATGAAAAGTGATGAGCGCTTTAGCTGTGTTCGAATTGATGTTCAATTTGGTTGCATAGCATCCTTTTCAAGTGTACAATCCATTAGAACATGGATATTTAGATGGTAATATGGCTTGGGACACAGACAACAATGAAATCCTGACAAGGGGCTTCACCCTTCCACACTATATACGAAACTGAAAAAAATGATTTTACTTACACTATAAAGCTCAGGTTTATTCTGCTTATATTTTGCCTCCCCCGTTTCTTTATTCCTCATCAATATGCTAATTACATTTTTAAATAAAACCTTCTCGTTTTCATTCCATACCCTTTTTCAGACTCATTGATCTCATAGCTGGGTCTTTCTGCTTCTTAATGCAATGCAGGTAGATCATGGCTGGTGGAAGAGCCAGCAGGGTGCTGTACATAGCTCCCTCAGTACTCACCTCAAAAGCCCTCAGCCCTGATTAATCAATGCTGAGAAAGAAGCACAGCTCACCCCATACATATGCCTTGCATTCCACATTTGGTGCACAGATAACCTCCCTTTCAGAGTTGACATGATAGCAAGAAAATATAATCGCTGGCACATGAAGTTCCTCCAAACATATCTGTATTTATTCCACAAACATTGATACAATAGACAAATGCTGGCGCGTTTCTGCCTCAAACGGCTTTAGTCTTAGCTTATAACATGAGCTTTCATTAAGGCCATTTGAGCCAGAAACGTGTCATCCATTGTCTATTGTATTGATGCTTCTGGAATAAATACAGATATTTTGGAGGAACTTTGTACCAGCAATTTTATTTTCTTGCCCTCGGCCCTTACGCAAGCAGTGGGATGGATCTTGGGAGGAGTTATGCAAATATCAAACTGCTTTGTTGGGTGGATGTCAGATTGGAAGAGTGGGTGTTCCTTGGCGAACTGCTCTAGATAATACCCACATGTAATACTGAGCCTGCATGATTCAGGACTGAAATTCAAAAAATGAAAGGTGTGGGCAAGAGATAATAAGGCTGGGGAGGAAAGAACTAGATGATCCTGGACTTCCTCCAGCCAGGAAATGAGGTGGGCTGTATCTGCTGCTTCTAACACACAATGTGAGAAGCTCGCAGTGTGCAGTGAAATCAGAGGAAGCTATTTTAGTCCAGGAGAGGAGCCGGTACAACTGTGCAAGACTGAAGGGAAGGATGGGGTTTAAGTTTAATTTTGATAAGAGTTCCATTAGCTTAGCATGACCAATCATACTGCAGGTATGACTGATAATATTTCCTTTCATTGCTGAACTATGGAAATGTTTTGCATGAAATTCCCCTTAAAATTCTAAGCCATATTTTGTATCACTCTTATAACCTGAGCGCATGGTTTCAAGTAATATTGCTTGTTGTGTTATGTTTCCATTAGAGGCCTGGGACAGCTGATTCTGTGATGTCTTCTGGGGAGGACCCATCCTTACGCCCGCGGTCCTGCAGTGCTCTACTATTTCCAAGGTATTTTATGGAGAAAAAATACGTAATAATTTAATTCAAGAAAATATGTCATATTAAACACGTGACCCTGCTGCCCTTTATGTTGTTACTTTTGTTTTTTTTGAGCGCTGTTAACTATATAGTTGTCATTCATATATGTACAGTATATACTATATGTATACTCTTTTCAGGGGGTGAGCCCCAAATGCTCCCAAAAATCATATAAGCCATTATAGGAAAGCACTAACTATATAAAAATAAATAGATATAGAGATGCTCGGATATGAATAGAACTACTAGTCAGATCAGTTCTATGAAGAGGGTGACCACTTAAGAAGCCTGCACTGTTATGCACAGTGGTCACCCATGCATCAGTGTTAGTTTCCTAGAGCTCTGCAAAGTGTGTTGACATCCATTACCTCAGTGCTGTGGATCTCATTTCTGCTCCATTAAGTAACATCCACAAGTCCCTGATTATCAAACTGAAGAGTAGACAGCAATGTCTAATGCAACAAAAGGACCACCCCATCCATACCCCCGACGCCAACCACCAACCTGCCCAAAGATGACATGTACCTACATTTTAAGGCTGCCTCTGGACCATTCTGTCCCACTACATGAAAAATGATAAAAGAAAAAGCGTTTTGTCCTCATTTGATACCATTTATAAAAAATAGAGTGTATAAATCAGATTTCCATTCTACTTACATGTTCAGTCCAGATAATATCAGCAAACAATTTCCTTATGGAACAAAGAAGAAGAAGAGACCCATCAGTATGTGATGGTGAACAATAGCTAACGTGTTTACCCCCTTCTTCAGAGTTACTGTATTACAAAAGAAATGTCAGACAGTGTATACAGTATATGTGTGTGTGCGTGTGTGTATATATATATAAATATATACTGTATATATCCAAACACTTACCCAAAAATGGTGTCTTGCTGCATGTGTGCAGGCATGCTGCTAGTTGGATGAACCTGACCTAGAAGTGGATGGGAAAAGGAGAGGTGTGCTTGCACAGACCAGGGCGGGACAGGCTAATGAGGCTGTAATCTGATGGCTCAATGGTGAATGGCCTTTCTATAGAAATGATTGGGGGGGCTGTACAGATCACAGCAGAGCTCAATGAAGTTCTACAATGAGCGTGGATAGGCTATGGAGGGCATGGTGGGTGGTGAGTTATGTAAAGGATAACTGTACTAAAAGTTCAGTTATTCTTTAAGGCCTGCTTTAGTCCTCTGTGCCTCCTGCCTGTTTCATTGACAACACTATGAGGGTACATTTAGGAAAGTTAGATATAATACATACAGATATCATTTAGCACAATTGTAAAACAAAGCAACGCAGCCTAAATTATTGCAGTTGCTAGAGCAATATACATATACTAAAGTGGGTCAATTGGGTAACTGTGGTGATCTTGATATCTCCTCACACTTGAAGTCTCTTATTACTCTACTGCTATTCTATGCAAATAAAATAATTGTAATGCAAAGGATTACTCCCCCATCATTGGTGGAGTGTAAACATTTGGTTAATCAGGTGATAATGTGATGTATCAGATGTTGCTGATCTTATTGATACTTAAGTTTTCCTTCTTTATTCTTTGCCAATTTGGTGAAAGGATTGAGGTAAAAGCCTCAGACAAGCCATCTGACATGGAGACAATCCCAGAAGAAAATGTGGAGCTGGAGAGTGGGGCAGAACCTAAGATAGAACAGCCAATAGAAAATGTGAATGAAGGAGAAGAGCCAATCACAACTCGAAGAGGTAAGGCATGAGGGATGGAATATGATGAGTCACACCGTCATTTGCAATTGATCCAATTGATGTGAATAATCAAATCTATGGTTGATTATTGACGATCTATATGTATATGGTCAGTCTAAGTTACTGACAACCTATGTATTTATTAGGATTGCACCGATACCGGTTTTTCGGTATCAAGTATATGTACCGATATTTTTTTTTGCTAGACTTGTCGATACCGATATTGGACTCGCCGCCCGGCTTACTGATTAGCCGGGAAGCAGGGGAAGAGGAAGCATGGAGCCAGCTTTCTGGCCAACCAGGAAGCTGGGTGGCAGGTAATAACTCACCACCTGGCTTCCTGATTGGCCAGATTCCCAACCAATCAGGAAGTCGGGGAAGGCGTCGAGTCATTACACGGTGCCCAGCTTCCTAAATAGCCGCGAAGCCTGCTCCATGCTACCTGGTCACCAAGTAGTATGGCCACTCTGGAAGCCGGGGAGCGTGTAATGACTCGCCGCCCGGCTTCCTTATACCAGAAGTTTAGAGGCGAGTCATTCTCCACCCCCCCGGCTTCCTAAATAGCCGAGAAGCCGGCTCCATGCTTCCTCGTCACCAGGGAGCATGGATCCAGCTTCCTGGCCAATCAGGAAGTAGCGTGGAATCCAATGACTCGCCGCTCGGCTTCCTATTCTAGGAAGTTCCTGTATCAGGATAGGCATTGGGAGCATTTAGGCGAGTATGAGTACTCGCCCAAATACTCGGTATTGGCACAGATACTGGTATCTATATCTGTAATCAACGTGGAAAGCATTTTATAAGGTTATACTCCACTTTCTTCTGCAGAGAACACACCAACGAAGCGTCTGCTGAACAGACAATGTATTGTGCCCGCCAAAGTCACTGCGATCAGCCTAAATGAAGATCTGGAAAGAATAACTAAACCAAAAACTGCTCCAGAAAGGTGAGGTCAACCTACCTGTTATGGGATGTCACAAAGATTTGACTGATACTTATTGTGCTTCATCATGTCATAGTGATTGCTGTACATCATAATAAAGAGCAGGCATCATGAAGTGTTTATTGTTAAAGGATAAGAGCACTTTAAGACAAAGTGCATTGATCCTTTTTACCCTTTTCCCCTGACCTATCCTAACCCACCCTCCCCCTCCAAAGATGCATACTTACCTTGATCTGATGGCTTTGAATCCTCTGCATGTTTATATCCAGCAGTTCAAGACTTCACTGTCCTGGCTGTACCTGCACATTAATGCCTGCCATAGGGGCACAATTAAATCCAGTTATATATTTGGGGACGGGGGGAGGGTCCACTCTCAGTACAGAGCTGTCTAAACATTTTTACAGAAAAGAAGAGCTCAAGGATGACCTCATCAGTCTGCTTCTGCTCCATCATTGTCCAGTCAGAAGATGGGACCTTGACCAAGCTGTATTGCTTAAATGCAGTAGAGGAAAGGGAGGTCTTGGACCCAGCTGTCCATTCTGACTGGCATACCTGAATCTCGCTGAACAGAATTAGAGATCCATTAAACAGTTCACATATAAGAGACAATGGAAACCATTGATCAAGTTTTGTAAAAGCAAAGGCATATGTACACAAGGAGACAGTTAACAGAAAATGCACCATCCAAACATAGCCAGAACTCCTAGGTAGACCTCAGAAGTCCATCTCGGTTTATGTGATTCTTTTATTATGTATAGAAAGAGGAAAGAGTTTGAAGTGCCGTCTGATTTTTCTGTTGTTTTTGTGCCTGTTGGGGAGCTTTTCTTTCGGTTCCTGTCCTGGTGACACCCTTTCTCACCCTGACATCAGAACAGGAAGTGACGGGAAATCCCACCATTTTTAGCTATTATTGAAAGAGAAAGCAATCTTCCAATAAGGTTTAGAGGTGGGATCTGCTCTTACTGTTGGTGACACCAACAGAAGTTATAACCCTTTTCCATTTGGAGGTGGGATCTACTCATACTTTTGGTGACACCATTGTAACAGACGTTCTAACCCTTCTCCATTTGGAGGTGGGATCTACTAATACTTTTGGTGACACCATTGTAACAGACGTTCTAACCCTTCTCCATTTGGAGGTGGGATCTACTAATACTTTTGGTGACACCATTGTAACAGACGTTCTAACCCTTCTCTATTTGGAGGTGGGATCTACTCTTACTTTTGGTGACACCATTGTAACAGATGTTCTAACCCTTCTCCATTTGGAGGTGGGATCTACTCTTACTTTTGGTGACACCATTGTAACAGACGTTCTTCTAACCCTCCTCCATTGTACTGGAAAAAGGACGTCTGGTATATTTATTGTTATTTTGTTTCCCCCTACTTTTTGACCCGTGTTAGGGAGATACAGAATGAATCGAAATCTCTCCAATGGGGAATCAACAAGTAAAAACCAGAAAAAAATTCTAACCATTCCCACTCTATCAAAAACAAAAAAGTTTTGCCTGGAGCCGGGCTATAATAACTGTTACTAACATCTTAATATAAAATAAGACAGGGGGTCTCATTTGTATACATTTTCAAGCTGTGAAAGCCACAATAAACCGCATTTTACTAGTGTACACTGTAATCACACACCACAACCATAAGAACATTCCAAGAGGGTGATATGGATGTGGCAGGAGGGACGCATGTGTCAGTCCAGCACCACTCACTCATATAACGGTAATATAAATCTTCAACTAGGGCTGCACACCGGTTCATATATTCAAGAACAGCTTTCTATTCCTTATTCTTGAACGACTCATAAACTATTAATTGCTACTGACAAAATGTTCTCTTAATGGTTCTAAATGATTCAGGGGATTATCTGAGTTTTATTCAAAAGTATCAGCTGACAGCGAGATGTTGAAAAGTGTATACAGAGACAGCAAATGGAGGGGTTGGGGGATAAGTAGCACAATGTCATTGTGGATGATAGAATTTCCTTCCCTGGTGAAATGGAAACCGGGTCTTCCAAGGCCACACAGTAGACTCCGGCCTGAGATAATGTTCATCGAGCCATCATGAAGCATTTGCATCTGGGTTCTCACTAGATATCCTTTAACTATGATGTTCTACTTGTTCTTAGAATTGAAATGCTGAGTCTTATTACTGAAGGGAAGGCCTTGGCCAGTACTTTATGTACTGAAGTGAAAGCTGGACTTTACAGTTGATATTCATATATGAGAGCAGTCAATTGCTGCCAAAGCATTTTTGTCCATCCGGTACTGAGATTTACTGTATATAGCTCTGCCAGACAATACAGCTAAGCAATACAGCTAAGTCACCTTCCTGCCTTCAGCCTGTGATTGGACAGTGAATGAGTGGCAGACTAATGAGCTCGTTCCTCTGCTCTCTCTCTCCTCCTGTCCTAATGTTCCTTGATATACAGCACATCTGATTGGGCCCTAATTCTTCTCCTCCTTGTATCTCTGAAACCAAGTACCATAGTTGAACAACCTGAACCTTATAATGAGTTTGTGTGACTAGTGAGCCTTATATGTACAGTATGATCTATATGGATAAAACCCACCTATGTTGGCAGCAGACATGTGTAGAGTTGGACATATGTAGGTGGACATCCAATAACCTGACTATGGCATCAAGACCATACAGTACTTGGCCTGGCATTCAATTCTAGTAGGGAGGCCTGGTATAGCCATCAGTGTTGGTGAGTGAGCTTGCATGTTTCAGGTTACCAACATTTTTATATGTCAGGCTCATACCAAATCACACACCACACCACTCACACACCACTAGTAGTGTTTTAAACCAGTCACCTGAATATTTTTTTATAGGTTCATTGATTGAGGTGATGTAACGCTATTAGCAATTATTACATTTACCTGGTATGGATCTCAACTGCAGGAGTGTTAATACATAGTAGCTTAGTAAGAAGGTTAGTTGTAGTTATATGGTAAGTGCTTGACTTCAGTCAGAGATAAAGGTATAAAGTTCGTAACAATTTACGCAGGTTGATAACCCAGGTCAGAGCATTCAAATAAGGATTGCAGAGTGAACCCACTGATCGGCCAATCACTAGTTAGGATAGCTCTCACCCTGGATGGTTGCGATACAACAGACTACTGCAAGCATATATGCAGTCAGTATATGGAAAGGAATACTTGCAGTTGGCAGCCTTTAAAACCTGAATACATTTTGTAGGTTCAATGATTGAGGTGAGCAGTTGGTTTGTTGTCAGGAATGTCTATCAATCGCTCCTTGGAAAGCTCATGTGAGGAAAGGTGATTGGCGGGGGACCAGTAGTCAAACCTCAGGTGACCTTTGAACTCTGACTCAAAAGATGATAGCATTTGCACTCTACTTAGAGGAAGAGAGTTTCCTCATTGTATCTGTAACATGAGCAGAGCTTCCAGATGATTATGATAAATGATGGGTAGCTGGAAGTCCTACTGATATCACTGAACAGAAGAAAGTGTGTGTCCCAGCACAGATGAAAGTGCTTGAGTTAAGTAGCAGACAGGTAGGTACCCCCGTCCAGCTCTTTAACGGTGTCAGTCTATGACTTCTTCCCCCACACCACCAAGACAAGGTTGCCTTCACGTGCTGGCTGCTTGATAAATGTTGTGGGTGCCATTCTAGGGTGAGGTGCCAATAGTTCATACATACATCATAGAGTGTCTGCAAGGATATTTCATTCCACTCAGCCTTCTTTCTCCACTCCATGTAATGAATCCAGTCACTGAGCAGTTCATTCATATGAGTGCCTGCTTGTTTATTTCAGAAGCTGCTGAAACTGGAATGCACTTCATGATTTTAAACAGGACACAGAATTTAACAAGACCAATTACTTTCTATTGCAGATTAGGATCTTCTATGAACTTCTCAAGACCTGATCCTGAAGTGAGCCAGACGAATATCCTGCGGATAACGACGCCTCCTCCCTGCCTGGATCACTGTCGTGCAGGGCAGGTACTGTATCCAGACTACATGGAACCTGCTACCATGTTAACGTCTTATCTTAGTGGTATCCCCCTTATCTACACCTGACATTACACGTTAGTGCTACAAACCCATGCGTATGGGTATCTGCAGAAGCCACCAGCTGCCTGCTGTTGTGGGGAACTAGTGATCAGTCATACAAAATTATGCAATAGTTATTCTTACCCCAGATAAGCTGGTAGCATCTTCTTTGCGACTCCCAACCCCTCCATTTTACACTCACAATTCACACTGCTCTCAATATTATTTACGCTTGCACCTCCTATTGCAGTATAAAGACCTTTTCCCCTATTGAAGAAAATACAACATTGTGACTTTGTAGCATGTCACAAAATGAGAAACCGCAGTCATTTTTAGATAAATCGTTATCTGTAGACGCCATTATTTGGACTATCTGGTGGTTATAATGTAAAGTGTATCTGGCATCATTCAAAGAACAGACAGGGACAATATTGCAAGTTGGCGAAAACAACTGAGAAACAAATTGCATTTGCTATGGTCAGGATCCTGATTCAGTATATCAAAAACATCTCACTCAATATTCTCTCTTTAGAAAATATCCTACAAAGTACTACTATAATGGCATTTGACCCGAGCTTGAATATGTAAATGTCCTCTGCTAGTCCACCAATTGCTTTCAGAGAGGAAAAACTCCATGTTCCACATATGGTTGATATATATATATATATATATATATGTTCTGTATATGTTCTGTATTCTGTTTTTAAGACAACTGTTGCATTGTATCTTACCTTATTTATTGAATACAATAAAAGTCTTGTGAAAGAAAAGGGATCAATTGGCTATCAGATGTGTTGGTCTTCATGCACTTTCAATGTTCAGAAGTATCTGGTACCACAACGACAACAATGAATTGGTTGTATCACTTTTCTTCATCACATGTATTTATCTGGCTGAGGTCACAAACAAACAGGCACAAAGGGGCTACTTTATACATCTTCAGCTCAGAGTATAGCTGGGTGAATGCCGTTCACTTAGCCCTACCACCACTAGATGGCGCAGGGGAACATAGGAATTTCCTATAGTCTCAGCTCCATCTAGTGGTGGTAGAGCCATGTAAATGGCATTCACCCAGCTATACTCTGAGCTGAAGATTTATGAATCAGCCCCAAAGTAAAATGTGAAACGTGCTCTGTGTTATTTTCAATATAGGTACTTGTCATTCAAAACTGTTTCTTTTCATCTCCTTTTCCTAGGAATTGTGCTACCTGTGTCTATGTAGATGAAGGAATCTGTTGCACCTTTCCCATCTGACCACAGAAAACCTGCAGATAATTGTAAGGTGTATGGCCAGCTTTAGACAGCTCTCCCTGGAACAGGTGACCCTATTAGAAGATTTCCCCTTACCTCTTGTTCTGGGGACAACTCTAAAATGTTGGATTTCCTTTTTGTCTTGGTGACAACAGTCACCAATACCAATAAATGGGGTGAATCTCCCTAATGGGCAGGGCCGGATTTCCCACCAGGTCAACCGAAGCCCGGCCTTGGGGTGGCAAGGAGCAGATGGTTGGCAAGGAATGGAATTCCTATCTCCTGACGCCCAGGGTATGCAGTTTCGGGCGCTGGCCGGGTAGTTGTTTTCTACATTTAGCCCCGCTTTTGGACAAGCAGGGCTAAATATAGAGACTGTAATAAAGAGAACCTGTCACCTCCAAATGCTATCACACAGGGGCTTGTTAGTAAAAAATAATAAGAAATAATAATTTCAAAAACTAAAAGTGATACAAAAGGCCTAAAAATTATAATAAAAGTAAAAGATAATAAGATAAATCAAAATTTAAAAAAATATACAAAAATGTTTAAAGTGATAAAAAAGTAAAATAAATAAATACAAATTTCCAACTAACCCTGCCCCCCACCATCTGGTTGCCATTCTCCATGGTGGGGGTGTTGTGGCAGAGAGGGGGACGCATTGAGGAACCTGGCCTTGGGGCAGCAGAGAGTAAATCCGGCCCTGCCGATGGGTATTTATGGCCCTGCCGATGGGTAGGCAGCAATGAAAACTTGACATAAAGTCTAACCCTCCCCCACGCTATCCAAAACTAAAAAAGGTTTTGCCTAGAGATACAGTTTTACCCTGACTGTAACATTAAACCTAACCTCCTAAAGGGAGCCCTAAAGGCCGTGACACACTGCACGCGAAGCAGCGCGGAACGGGGGCGCGCTGCCTCTGCGAGCAGTGTGTCATGTCATTTTCTGCTCGGCACCTCAGCTTGCGAGAGCTCGCGGAGCTGAGCGTGCCGAGATGAACAATTTCAACTTCAGCCAATCGGCTCGCGCGTATAAACCAGCGCGTCGCGATGCGACAGCTGGCAGGTTGTTACGGACGAGCCGATTGGCTGAAGTTATCAATCATCTGACTGCACTCAGCTCACACACTGCATGCAAAGCTCCGTGCCGGATAGCTTTGCTTCGCTCTGCACGGCTTTGCGTGCAGTGTGTCACGGCCTTAAGTCTTTGCTTCCCCCAACACATAACCTGCTATAAGTGAAGCCTAACACTAACCTAACAAAACCAAACCACACATTAAAGAATTTTGCAAACTGGTGCAAACTGGTTAAGTGCAGCGCAGATTTCTGTAATGTGAACTACAATGTTGTTTCAAATGTCATTGTGAGAGCAGAGAACTTAGTCGTCTTGTAAGTTTGCCGTATCAAAGTCTTCATCTTTCCAGTTTCTCTTTCTCTACAGATGAAATCTCAGGCAATTCGAGGTCAAAGTCAGAAAGACGCCGCGTACAACATGGGGGTGGCGGAGGCCATCAGGAATGAACGCAATGCCAGGAACCTAGAGTTTTATGTGAGCACATTGATATTCTGTCTGCCAGTGTGACCAGTGCTGACCCCATAATGATAATGGCTGGGCTGAAGCGACTGCATGCTACTGACACATTGACACGACTCCTGACACCAGGACCCATTATTATTATTGACGAGTCATCTGTGCTAGAGGATTACTTCTTTTTAAGGTTACCGTTTTTGGAAAGTTGGCAATGAAAGGAGAATGGAAGGGAATATACAGTATAACATTTCACTCTTTACTTTGTAGATGTTCACGTTGATGTGATCAGCCTAAAGTGGCTCTGACAAAAAAATCCCAAGCAAGTGCACCTACACCTGCTCACGGTACTTTACCCCCGCTGCCGGAATGCCATATGGGTCAGTAGAAGGTCTCCGCTGGCATCTATTGGGAAATGGAAATTCCCAGAAGTGTTGATCTCCTTGCTTCCTTCTCCGCGGTGCTCACTGGTTCCTCCCGCCGCCCTCCACATTATTGTATCCTGTAGTGATGTAGAGGTTGGCAGGAGGAGACACTGAGAGGGGAATTTATCAAAATTGGAGCAGACAAAATCTGGGGCAGCTGGGCATGGCAACCAATCAGCTTCTCCCTTCAGTTTGTCCAGGCAAGATTTGAAAATGAAAGAGAGAAGCTGATTGGTTGTCATGCACAGCTGCTCTGGATTTTGTCTTCTCCCTGTTTTGATAAATTCCCCTCTTAGCTATTTAGGGGACCAGATTGACATTCTTAGTTTCCCAGCAGACATTGGTGGAGGATTTCTATAAAATGGAGTGGTATTTTGGAGGCATAGGCAGCAGAAAAGGAATCATTTATTATCTTATTTTGCAGGTACAATTGTTCTGATTTTTTATTTTTTTTAATAACAGGGTCACCTTAAAGGGTACTAGTGCTTTCAGACAAAGTTAAACTCACCCTGCCTAGAATTCCTCGCCTATACTATCCATCCCCCCTCCTTCAGCTCCTTACTTACCTAAGTAAAGCTGGCCACACACTGGCAGATTTTCAAATGAAATTTCATATGAAAAATCTCATCCGGACATTCGATAATGCCCTCAGAGACTTGGGGAATGTCGTCCAAAATTCTATTTGGTTTTAGCATTCAATTTTGGAATGATTGGAGTTTCCTGAACGAAAACCTCATTCACTGTTAGGTCTTCGTTCATTCAAGAAGAATGGATAAAAGATTTTTCGCCACTATGGTTAATGTTGACCACCGATTAGCATACTCCATTAGCTGTTAGGAAACCAAACAAATGTTTGCAAAACATATTTTTTAAGATAAAATTCTACTGGTTTACACCATGGACCAAATCTTCCTCACCCCTGGCTAAGCTAATGTAGTGATACTTGATTTGTACATTTGTACAGTACCAGCTAATAGAACTGGAAACCCTTGGGAGTTGGCCCTGTAGAAGTCAATCAGGAAGATGTTAGCAATGGGGCAGGCTGAGTGTCCTATTCAGGTAAGTATGCAGTTGGCTGGTTAAGTACTTCGGCTCAGCAGGTCTAGGCAGTGTAGGTAAGTGTACTTTGTCTGAAGGTACACATGCCATTTAACCACTTCACATCTGTTCATTATATGTAAATGGACGGACGGATCATTCTTCGATGCGGGTCACCATACATGCACTGCAATTTTTCTTTCCTGCTCGTATGCACTCCCCTAGCGTGCACATGAGCAGTACACTATAAACATTTCCCACCCAATCGCTTGTATGGTGCGTGGGAGTGTGCAACCTCCCCGCCACCACTGTTAGCTATTCCGGACTTCGCTGTCCCCCAAATGGGCTCGGGACTGGCATGGCAGGCCCTCCTTGGTCGCTTCAATCGGAGGGAGATCAGCACACTTCCACTGGCTGACATCCCCTCCGATCTCTGAAAGAGGAAGTGATGTAAATTACATCACTTCCAGTTTCAGTGTGTCATTTCCCCGGCTGCTGTAGCCGGAGAAGAAGCTGGTGAAGCACGATCTGTGCTTGATCAGCTTCTTTGGGGAGTCCATAGGTGGCATTAGGGGTCTAATAGACTCCCGATGTCTCCATAAAGAGGACCTGTCACTGTATCTGTGCTATCACATAGGGGGTTTGTTAGCCCTAGTCTTCAAGTGGTTAAAGCTAATCTCTAGACCACCCCTCTCTACCTAAACGCTGGCAAAAAAAAACCCTACTTAAATGCCCCTTTTACTTACCCAAATCTGTGGTCATATGACAATTCTGTTCTTCCATGCACCAAAGGTGGGGTATTTATTCAGGTGTCCATACTGCCTGTATGATGTGGACACTTTATATTGGCACAGTCCCTCTGCTGCACCACTGAACACCAAGTAAAACAGTCCTCACTATAATAGATGTCAGCGGGTAAAATAGAACTTTTGTTTCTTTTGTGGCAATACTGTCTTTGTTGGATTTTCTTTTTTTATTGTATGTAATAAAACAAAATGTGCCACAAACTTTCAATTGTGGTGGTGAGGAGATGAGATGGAAATTCTGTTTAGGAGATCTTCCTACTAGACCCCTGAGAAATTGGTGATTCAACAGAACTTTATCCACCCCAATACCAGTAACTTGGTGTACTGACCCTCTAAATTTCATTTAAGAAGGTCTCATGCTACACGGTTCACGGTCATCCAACCACATGTTTGCTGTGTGCGACAACCCTTGGATAAGGCTTTAGGCATGATTTACTATTCTGTTTCTCATCAATCACTATGTACATTTTATCCCTCTTATACCTAGAGATCATACATTTTTCAGAAGAGGCCGCTGACCCCTCCGGCAAAAATAAAACAGGAGCAATATTACCAGTCGCTGACTAAGCAGGTGGAGGACAGGCAAGGGAAGGAGGAAAAAGAGAAGCAGGACCAGGAATTGTTGGGCAAACTGGAGCAGATTCAACTCGCTGAAGGGTAAATTTCACTTTCATTCAACATCTCATACATCACATCACATGACCTATGACATCACATGATTTATCTGTTCATATGCTGGATTGAGTGTTGGATTGTGTATTGTTACACCCACATGCAACTTTCCCTTGCTAGTTAGTTTTAATTTTCTATATATGTATTTGACTATACATATGAAGGAGTCACATGTTGCAGAGGTGCCTTGGTGGGGCAATGTGGCTTCACATACAGCGTAAATGTTTTTATCATTATTATTAGGGATGCATTGATAAGAGTACGGGACGAGTACGAATGCTTTGATACCGGAACTTCTGGTCAGAGGGAGATTTCCTCTGACTGGCAGTGCCGCGAGGGAACATGGAGCCGGCTTCCCGGCTAATCAGGAAGCCGGGCAGCGGGTACTGACTTGCCACCCGGCTTCCTGATTGGCTGGGAAGCCAGCTCCATTCTGATTGGCTGGGAAACCGGCTTTTCGGACAATCAGCATCGATCCAGCCAAACAGCTGGTCAATGCTTTCCGGCCAATCAGAATGGAACTGGCCAAACAGCATGGAGCCGGCTTCCCAGGCAATCAAGAAGCTGCCTGGCTTCCTGATTGCCCGGGAAGCCGGCTCCATGCAAGCAGAAGTACGGATGGTTAGGGGAACCCTGCTCATAAGAGCTTACAATATAAAATGGAGGGAGAACTGATACACAAGGTAATGGCTATGTAGAGGATTTGTTGATGGGGAAAGTAGCAGTTCAGTTGTTGGGTGGAGGAGGGATAGGCTTCCCCGAAGAGATGGGTTTTCAGGGATTGCGTAAAGGCAGAGTATGAGATAGCCGAACAGATTGGGAAAGGGAGTACCAGAGGATGGGAGAGGGATTGGCAGAGAGGGGTGGAAGCCAATAAAGGGATGGGCAGAGAGAGATGGGGGATAGAAAGCAGTGGAGGGATTGGCAGAGAGGGGAAGACAATGGAAAGTAGTGGAGGGATTGGCAGAGAGGGATAGGGGTGGAAGCCAATGGAGGGATTGGCAGAGAGGGATAGGGGTGGAAGCCAATGGAGGGATTGGCAGAGAGGGATAGGGGTGGAAGCCAATGGAGGGATTGGCAGAGAGGGATAGGGGTGGAAGCCAATGGAGGGATTGGCAGAGAGGGATAGGGGTGGAAGCCAATGGAGGGATTGGCAGAGAGGGATAGGGGTGGAAGCCAATGGAGGGATTGGCAGAGAGGGATAGGGGTGGAAGCCAATGGAGGGATTGGCAGAGATGGTTTGGGGTGGAGGCCAATGGAGGGATTGACAGAGAGGGATGGGGATGGAAGCCAATGGAGGGATTGACAGAAAGGGGTGGGGGTGGAAGCCAATGGAGGGATTGTCAGAGAGCGGTGGGTGGAAACAAATGGAGGGATTGGCAGATAGGGGTGGGGGTGGAAGCCAATGGAGGGATTAGAAAGAGAGGGGTGGGGTAGAAGCCAATGGAGGGATTGGCAGAAAGGGGAGAGAACACTGAGCTGTTGGTAAGATGGATGAGTCTGACAGAAGCAATTATAGTAGACTGATGGGGGGATAGCCTGTGAAGAGGTAGACCAATGAGGATGGAGTTGCAGTAGTCAAGGCGAGAGATAACAAGGGAGTAAAAAAAAATAAGCTCAATGGTGTTATTGGTTTACAACAATAGCTTCAATTTTCACCTTATACATCAATATACACTTGAATTTGTAATTCTGATGGGCGTGTACCTTTATAGAAAGAAGAAGTAACGTTTGTGTAGGATTGGGTCCCCAACTGATATTTGGGGTTTCCAGGAAAATGAGGGACCCGGAGGATTTTACTATAACATAAGGGACATTTTTTTTTGTGAGACACTTTGGGGAGCTCACAGGACAGGGAAGTTACAATGATCCCGTCTTATTCTTCTTATTCTTCTACCTGGAATAACCAGCTCACAGTTTGACAGTTTTCAGTATGTAGAAGATCTGTGCTCCTGCTGTGCAATACTCAGGAAGGACAATGTGCCCCCCTGACCCTCTCTGATATTTATAGCTGGAAGTGCCCCCCAGCATGAGACATGCGGTCTTTTTAGCTACATATTCAGCAGTTCAGAGGCCATTCACATCTCTGACAATAGCAGAATCTCCTCCAACCCCTTTCTTAGAATGACCCTGAAACAAGTTCTGTGTTTAAAGTTTTGCTGCTTTACTTAAAGCTGAATTCTATTCTCTATTCTGCTGATATTTTTCCTTCCCTGCCCCCCCACAATATGATACCAAATGTTTTTTGGTCAAATATAAAAGTTGAGGTTGTGCTGAGTAGACAGATACCCAACATGCCAAGCTTACAAAATTGTGTGCGCCCGTGAAATGGCAAAAAACTACGGTACCCCAATCTGTCCATAGGGGACACTTTAAAATCCCGTACAGGTCATCAGTTTAACCGTTAACCAAGTTAATTATTGGCTTCACTCTGACACACGCGGCGATTGTAGAGCAAGCGTTATTTTTATATGAAGGTGCGCCCGACGTGTGTTTGCGTTTGTATGTGCGATGGAGGACTGTTTTTAAATTTATTTTGTTTTACTTTATTTTTCTTAGAAACATTTGTCTTTTTACCTTACTTAATTGCTATCACATAGCGGAGCTCACACTTAAAGAGCACACGTAAAGAGCACCTGTCATCACTAAAGAGCCATCACATAGGGGGCCTATGTGATGGCTCTATAGTGATGACAGGTGCTCTTTACGGTGACATTAGGAGTCTATCAGCCCTCTAATGTCACCTTTGCAGCCCATGGAAGCTGATGAAGCACAGATTGTACTAGATTAGCTTTTTCCCCGGGCCTCTGGAGCCGTGGAATGGCAGCTCAGAAACTGGAAGAGATGCCATCAGCGTGGCTTCCGGTTTCAGTCAGTGGGAAGGAGATCAGAGAATGGACGTTCTCTGGTCTATCTCCCCTCTACCCGCTGACACCCGTGATGCTGGTCCCGGGTCCGCAGGAGGGGCAGTGGGAAACAAGGTGTAGGGGGGGTCACATGTTTACCGGCCCCTGGAAGCGATCAGGCGGCAGAGTACGCTGTGTACAGGGGCCCATGGCTGCCAATGTATACATACGCCGGTGCCAGCGAAAGGGTTAAACCATGTGAGTTAAAGGTGACCATTGTAAGCCCCCCTGCCACTGTTATAGTTTGTCCCAATCAGTTACCAGAAAACACAGATTTTTGGGATCTTTAAACCACTAGATGGCAGCAGATCTACTCTTGAAGAATTTTGACGGTCAGCCGTGAATCGGAAATGATAGCGTAGAAAATGTGTTACTGACAAGCTGAAACCAAATAATCCAAACAGCTGCAATAGTACCATTGAGAACAATACCCATGGATTGGTTGTTGGGTTCCGTCTAGTAAAGCAAACCTGTCATTCAGCCTGATCTAAGCAGAACTCCAGGGAGGAAAAAATCCTAACCCTCGCAGTGGGGCTACCCCGGCATTGAAAGGGTTAAGTGCTCGTTTGTGTCTAGGTGCTAAAATAACAAAGTTATACTCAACTGATCCTCTGAGCCGGCTTGTTCCTAGACGGGCCCCTGGAGCCTCTCTCCCCCTCCGCTTCAGCATTCGAAGGATCCTCAAGCCTTTATGTTCCATATACAGTGTATTGGATGTTAGGATGCCGAGGGACATGCCACCGCTGCAGCGGAGAGGCTTCAGGGACCAGAGTATCAGGCTGCTGGCTCTGCTGTTTGGGTATAACTTTTTTTTTTTCTCTCCCTCTTTTTTTTAGCACCTAGACAAAAACGAGCACTTAACCCTTACACTTAACCCTCACAGTGCACCCCGGTACAGTGAGGGTTAAGTGCTTGTCTACAAAAAATTTGCCCGGAGTTCTGCTTTAAAAATAAAAAAGTGGCTTTTGCTGCAATATTCACCTTTTATTCCAGGGGGGGGGGGGGGGGGGGGGGGGT